TGGAAATGCACAGCTAGAAGAGAAGGCACAACACATGCAAAGGAAAGGAGAAACATGGGCTGAAAATGTGGGTGTTTGGTGCTTGAAATGATGAAGCATGTGTGTGTAAATGTAAAGGAAAATAGGGCAGAAAATGTGTGTGTGTTGTGGTTGAAATGATGAAGCATGTGTGTGTAAATGTAAAGAGGAAACATGCCAACACACACCCACACAAGCTGCACATGCAAAGGATATGGAGTGGTCCTCTCTCAAGCCTATAAATACCACCTTCCATATTCATCAATAAAAAAACAAATTTTATCCTTGCCTTAGCCACACCTCTCCACCACCATTCTCTCCAAATTCAGCCAAAAATCACCCCTAGCCACACCACCCATCAACCCTAAACATTTCCATACCATTCCCCATCCATTCTACACCATAAAAACCACCCAAAACCGTCCAAAACCTCTAGTGCCGCTGCTTGCAAAGAAGGAGGAGTGCTTGGAGTTGTGCTAGCCATTCCATTGGAGTTGTTGGAGCATTCTAGGTGTATTCTACTTTGTTTTTCTATGTTTAATATCAATTATTTTTGTTTAATTGCAAGTATGAGGAACTAAAACCTTACTTAGCTAGGGGGAAGTTCGAAGCCATGAACATGCTTGAGATATGAATTGATTTCTTCCAATTGTGATTTAATAAATTGTGAATGCAATTCAATTAACTACTTTCTTCAAAACTAATTCTTGTATGTTGATTAAGGATGCATATTTAGTTTTCATGCATGAATTTGATGCTAGGATATAAATGAGTTTCACCTAATCGTTACAAGTTTATATTCATTGGTAGTGAAGGTTGCTAGTCACAATCGCGTTAATTGAATTCTTGGCAAACGTATCATGCATTCATAGTTACGAATGCCTCGTTAACACTTATGATTTTCATAGAACGTAATGATCTTTGATTGTATCTCTATTATGCATTCATGTAGAGGACTTTTGGAGAATAATTTGGATTGTCGTATGCATTCATCCAATTCAATAAATCAAGGAAAATCTGAGGATTAATTAGTGCATCACGGTTAATCTGGGGTGTTGAGTTTCATAATCTATTGAAAAGCAATTGGAAATCAATTCATGTACAAGTATGTCATGTGTGAAGAATGGATCTCTAGCTAATCCATCAACCATATATTTAGTTTTACTTTTTATCTCAATCACAACCAAAACCAATACCCCCCATTTATTTTCTTGTATCAAAGTGTGCTTAAAGTTTGTTTTGAACTCTTTGAGTCTAGTTTAGTGTTTTAAAGCCTACTTTTGTGTTTTTAAGTTTCTTCTTATATTTTTGAGTCAAGTGAGAGGTTATTAGCAAGCCCTCCTAATCCCCGGTCCAGAACGATCCCTACTTATACATATACTACAATTGTCAACAAGACGGTTTAATTTGTGTGTTAACTTATTTTTCACATCATTGCTCTCTAATGAAGTTGAGGGAGTCATTTTATAAAATAAGGGTTCGCTCCTCAGGACAAGAATAATGGGTGCTCTCGAATGAAAGTGAAGGAGTCCCTTTTATAGAATAAGGGCTCGCTCCTTAATACATAAATAATGGACTAAGTCCCCCAAGTATTTTTCATGAGGCCCAGTTGAGGCCCAATATGTGGTACATAATGTAGTCCCCTAAGTCTTCGGTCAATAGAGCATGTTGGCTGGAGACTTCAAATTGAATCCATGTATAGGCTGAAGTGACGGTTGTTCGGATGCGGTATTTGTATACCCTGCACTGAAGCTTTGTAGGTAAAGCTTTGCAAGTGAAGCTTTGAAGCTAAAGCTCTGTAAATGAAGCTTTTGAAGCTGATTGACATGAGTGATGCTCATGAATGTTTATGTTGATTGACATGAGTGATGCTCATGGATGTTGTCATGAGTGATGCTCATGAATGATGGTCATGAATGTTTATGTATGATTGTCATGAGTGATACTCATGAATGTTTATGTATGAGTAATGCTCATGTATAATTTGGAGTACTGGGCGTACTTTTGATCACCTGGTTGGTGGCATGAAGAAGAGTACGGGTTGTACATTTCATCACCTAGTTGGTGGCATGAATGGCTAGTTACCAAATGATATTAGAGTACGGGTTGTACATTTCATCACCTGGTTGGTTGTAATAGCGGCAGGTTGTCGAATAATTTTGGAGTACTGGGCGTACTTTTGATGACTGGTTGGTGCTATTTCGGGCTTATGGATCTTCACCCTCCACAACATGCCAACCCATTTATTTTGGGCTTTGCAGTTTTTTTTTTTTTTTTTAGCCTCTGATGGGGTTTATACATATTACCCTCTGATGGGGTTTATATAGATGTTTCCGAAAGATAAGGAAAATAAATTACATCATTCTAGTGGGGTGTTTATTCTTTGTTTTTGCAGTGTTTTTTCTGCTGCACTCTCTCTGTCTCTTCATCTGGCTGACATAAGGAATCATAATAATAGGAAGATCTTTTGCTTTTCTCTTTTCCTTTTCTGTTTTTCCCTTTGCTTTTGTTTCTGTTTCCCACTGCTTTTCTCTTTTCCTTTTTCTGCTTTTTCTTTTGCTTTTGTTTCTGTGTCTTTTTATCTTATTCCCTTGGGCATGTAGCAGACAACACAAAGGAGAACAAAGGAGAATAACACAAATGAGACTCCACCATAATAGTAACCTCATCATCTTTTTCATCTTTGTTGGCCCACCAGCAGCGTGGCTCGCATTCTTATAGAGAATAGGTCCCTTTACCGTCTCAGTGTCGTCCACGGTTCCTCCAAGTTTCTTCATGATCTTGATATCCCTCAGGTCTACCATAACTGACTTCGCGGGGTCCACCATGTTGAGCACGGCGTCCACGATTGACTGGCCTGGCCTCCGGGACCTCGTTAAGCCTCTTTGTGGTCAAAGTAGTGCTCTGAAGTGTCAACATCTTGTCGGGGCAGCTGCTTCTGATGAAGAAACAGCTATGAAGACTGATATGTGAACAAGAAGCAGCGCCCAGAAGATCTTGCAGCCCACATTTTTCCCCGATCTCAGTGACTGCAACATCGCGATCGTCCGTAGAAACCCGTCCTCGTCCGAAGCAGCCACGTGTCGGGCACGCAGAAGAAAAGCCGCCGACGGAGCAAGAGATTCTTCATCACAGGGTGGTGCGAGGAATTATCAAGACTTCGGATTAAAAGCCAGAATGGGATACCCATTGTCTCAAACCAGGATTAGCTGCATTTTCAAAAGCTTTCCAGGACGAAGACGACTTGTCGTAGATGAAGTAAGAGTTTGAGGAAGAGTAGGAGATCGGAGACTTTGACGGCCGGGGCATCACGGAGCTTGCTTAAGGATGAGGAGATGGAGGTGTAAAGGTTGACATGCGTCGGAATGCTGGTTGATCTGTGTCGGAGGTAATATCGGTGTCCAGAAAGGGTTCGAACCAGATCATTAGTGCGAAGGAAAATTCGCGGGTCGAACCAGACGTAAATCGTGGTGACTAATCCGAGCAACACAAAGTACCCTGGTGACTGATCCAGGGTAGCGTCGAAGACGGGTCACGATCTCCGGTGAAAAGAAGTAGCAGTTTCTGATGAAGACGTGGCGGCGAGAGTGGCGCTCCACGTCGTACCAGTCTTTGCAAACCAGAGACGAAGCTCCGATCCTTGGGTGACGTGACCAAGTTTAGGACATGCTCCAGCACCTTTTTTCCTTGGGTGACTTGGGAACTACACGTGTGCTTCCGTGTATGTAAGAGTGGTTTAGCGCCTTTCGTCAGCCAGCAGGTCTTGGAAACAAGTCCTGCATCCAGCACCCTTTCACTTCTTTGGGAATCTATGCAAGAGAGAAGGATCAGGACGTTGTAGGTAGGGCCACTGTCGGATTTCATCATGTCCCTGTTGGGTATGAGTTGGGAAGGGAAGAGATTAAGATGCCGGGCTTCAACAGCCATGATCTTAATGGTGAAAAAGGAAGCAGAAGAAAGCAGAGGAAATAGAGGAAATGTTTTCTTTGGGTTTGCAAATTGGATTCTGTGTGCGACTGACTGAGAGAGAAGAGAAAGATGGGACTTTGGAGTTGGGGGACGTGAAGCTGCAAAGAGCAGAGAGAGTACAACCCGTGTTGGTTTTTTGCAGATTTTGTGATTTTGCAGATTCACGGTGGAGGTGAAAAAATGAAAGAGAACCGACATAGTTTTTTGTGTCGCTTCCCACAGACGACGCCAAATGTTTATGCACAAAACTGAAGGCCTTGGAACAACGTAAATCTGATCATGAATCTGCAGAAATGTAAATGACACAAGATGTATCGTGGTTCACCCCAAGGTTTGGGTTACGTCCACACTGATTGTATTATATTTCTCTGAGAAGTGAGGGAGAGAGAGCTTTGAGAGGGGATGAGAGGGCCTAGGAATTGGCCTCCCCCAATTGTGAGGGTGAGGGGTCCTTTTATAGAATAAGGAATCCTCACTTATTACATATTTGCCCCTTCCCTTATCACATAATTACATTTAAATCTTCTGAGTATTTATACGAGATCTAAATACGAGGCCCTAAATATGGTATAAACACATGAAATAATAAAATTAAAAATATAAGAAAATAAAACCTAGGGCATCCGAATTCACCGAAACCAATTCTACTTAATTCCCTTAATATGTTATGCTCAAGTATTTCCCCAATATTGATGATCAATTTTCCCTAAATTATTCAACGGCCATGGCATATGGTTGCATCAAAAGTATCCTTACTTGTTAACCCTCTATGGCATCTAGATGAATTTAAACAAGTAAGAACCCATTAAGCTCTATGGAAATCGTTGGAAAATCGTACAAACCCTAATTGTATGGCATCTACAAATAGGTGGTTATGGTATCAATTGCAAGAAGCTAAACCCAAGTTAAGTATGGCATCTACTCTAACTTGCATCAAATCAACCTAATTTAAACCTAGATGGTGATCAAGCATCCAAATAAAACTCAAGTGCATTACGAATAACAAAAGATACTCAATAAGGAAGAAAAACTTGAATATAACAATGCCACAAGGCAATTAAGCATTCATGATTAGGCTACATCGTAGCCCTAGCAAAGAAAGAAAAAAAAAAAAGGAAAACTCTGCCCTTTTTCTCACTTCTTGCCGCAGCCCCTTTTGAAATATGAATAGCTGATTTTTATTATTATTATTATTATTTTTTTGTTTTTATGGCTCCTTAATCAAGGAGAATGGATCTCCTTAATATAACACCCACGGCAAAGGGCATTTAAAGCTAATTGAAATCCAATTAAAACCCCACTAAACTCTTAAGCATAATGGACTTTAAAACCTTATTAAGGAAAAGGAAAAATAAACGGAAATAATAAAAACTAGAAATTAAGTCCCTCCTAAAGTCCATTGAATAGCATTCCCATGTCCATTTGATTTCCAAAACCGTTGCAGTCTCATCTTCTTGTTGTAATGCACATGTATTTGCACAGCTAGTTAGCCTCTTGTTCCACTGGAATTACTTTAGACACCTAAAAAGCTCATTTTCCACTTCTTTTCCACGTAACTCCCGTATTGAATGCCTATAAATTAAAACAAAATAAATTAGTGCATTTAACCCCTTCATATATACAAAATCCAAAGGAAATATATGATAAAAATATATGAAAATATGCACCCATCATTAGGCTTGAAAATTCGCCACACGTGAGGAGGCGTGTTGAGAATAAATTTCACATTGATGGGACGAAGGAACTTGCATAGGCTTATAAAAGGTTAGGTTACTCCTCATATTATCAATTGATTTTCTGGTGGAACTTCAACTTTCTTCATGATATCAGAGCAAGTTGTCCCACGTGTGAAAACATACGGCCACACGTGCTTCACGTTACCCCGTTGTGTTGCCCACATGTTAGGCTTGAAAATTCGCCTCACATAAGGAAGAGTGTTGAGAATGAATCCCACATTGATGAGATGGTGGACATTGCATGGGCTTATAAGAGTTTGGGCTACTCCCCATATTGTCAATTGGTTTTATGGTGGAACTTCAACTTTCTTTATAGTATCAGAGCAGGTTGTCCCACGTATGAAACCAGACGGCTACACGTGCTCCACATCACCCCATTGTGTTGTCCACGTTTTACGCTTGAAAATTTGCCACACATGAGGGGGCATGTTGAGAATGAATCCCACATTGATGGGAATAAGGACCTTACATGGGCTTATAAGAGGTTTGGCTACTCCCTATATTGCTAATTGGTTTTATAGTGGAACCTCAACTTTCTTCAATTCTACCATTAGACATGTTGTTCAATCAACAATTTCTGATAACTTGAAATCGTGTATTGCAAACATAAGCTCTTCTAGCATGTATTGGAAATGAATAAACATTCCTCATGAGGTGGGGTGGGAAAGGAAGGGGACGGAAAAAAATGCAGTTCGTTCCAGCTAGAAATGTCACGCCCAGATCCTGACATTCGTCTAAGATCGACACGTGACATCACCACATTCCTGTTTATCTATCACGTCTCGCCTCAGAGACAAGACCACAACACAATCAATGATTTAACCACACAATCATTGTCTTTTATTTTATGGCTGCATCTAACTTTAGCGTTACTGCCTACGTACCTTAAGAAGGGATCACGCCATTTGTAGTTTACCAAGTCAATAAAATCCTATGACTACTGCAAGACATTACTACATACATGTAATCAGAATAACTATTGAAAACTGTATGCTTTCTTTGTATAGCTTGTCTAGGCATATGAGACATATATACATATAGCTTTAGAACGTGAATCATCAACTTGATTTTGGTTTCAGTATAGGCATGCGTATAGATATTTATGTTTAACGGGACATCATTCTACCATTTAAGCATGCAACATGATACGTATAAAGGTGAAGTACTTAATCGAACTATTACCAGCCATGACATTACTAACCAATATACTTTAGATATAATTTTAATCAACTACTATAAGCATACCCCTTTCAAATTGTATACCAAAATACAAAGCCAATAGTACATATAAAAGCAACAATATAACGATAATCTAATAATAACTAGCTGGACTAGTTATAGCAAATAAAATGGTTCGTTAGAACTAATCCATTTGGAGTATATAATGAAATTGAGTGAGGAAGATATGTATAATTTGATACATAGGTATTTAAAACTAGCCGCTATGTATTTAGTATATAATAGTTTGAAAACAACCACCTCACATAGAAGCCAGTATATTTATAACTTCACTAAATTTGATAACATTTATTTGCACTTGTTAATCAAATAAGCATGCCAAACAAACCACAAGAACCTGACCCGCCATATTAATTGGTCTTGAATTCATAACATAGTTATATTCAAGTAGAGAATAGGTATAATGTTTGATATCAAGTAACTAGTTCTCAGGCCATAGAATAACATGCAATCCCTAAACTATAGCATTCGAATAATTATTCGTAACTAGTACACCAGCCAAACCATATCAATGATTCTTAATAATTAACATAGAAAACCAAATTGTTTATTCAAGTGTCTCAAAATAAAATATAAATTCCTAGCAGTCTTAAGCTCTTCATCCGCTGAAAGAATGAAATAAAGAACCACCAATAAATCAATGACCAAAACCAAGAGTCATATACTACTCTAGTAATAGCATTGTCAAATCAAGTATTTAGCATTAGCATCTGACAATGCCATGGAAAAATATAGAACCACTCAGTAGTTTTATAACTCTAATTATCTACACAAACCTAGGCTACAACACATACAAATTCAGCAATGTTCTTCAAGGGTAGGACAAATATGGCACACAAAATATTCAAATGTATCTGGCCTCGATTATGGAGTAACATTAATATTTATAAAACAAACCCAACTCTTACATTTCTAAAGAGAACCAAATTGAGGTTAGGATTTCAAGGTTCTTCCCTAAATATGCAACCAATCCTTATTGCCCAGTTCCGATTCAACTCCAAAACAATACAACAAGTACCATCTCAAATATTCATACAGAATACCAAATTAAAATTCGAAATCCAGAATCGATCCCAAAATTGAAAGTTAACATCTTGGGAAAAACTTACGCTAGAGGAGAGCCCACCGGGAAAGAATCATTGTTTTCACTTGGGTCGAGGCCAGGTTCCAGCGAGGTTGGCCGAAATCGGAGGAAAGTCACCGGAAAACGTCAATATGTTTGGACCTCGTTTTCTTTGTACACTGGTTTTCAAAGGGTGGGTATGGTATCAGATTGAAGACGGCTTTGCTACGAAAGTATAGCTTCCGACCTCGTGTGATTTCATTATCGTATGAGGAAGTTATGTTGAAAATAGTTTACAAGGGATGCAGTGAGTAAAGGAGGAAGAAGAAGAAAATGGCCTCTCCCCCTCCTTTTCTTTTCCCACGCCAAATTCCCCTTCTCCCATTTTCCCTTCTTTCTTTTTCTCGATGGTTCTCCACACTTCCTCTCTTTCTTATTTTGTTATTATTATATTCTATCATTAATATTTTATATCTACTGTTATTATCTTTTCCCTCTACTTTGAATAAAATGATTGATACTTATTTTGTAAAATCTTTCTAGTTCCAATTTTCGCTATGCCTGGGTAACTATGTTCAGTCGTTTGTAATGACAAGTACTAAGAGAACATACTAATTAATATTTCACACATATCCTGACTACTAAGTTAATGAAAATTGACACATACCCTCTAAAGGCATTTTGATCATTTCACAATTTAAAAAAATATATATATATATATAGTAAAATTATAGACGGGTTGTTACAAGAAAATTAGAAAAGGAACTATTTATGTAAAGCTTTCATTTTTTTTCAACTAGAAGAAGAGAAAAAAAAAAACACCATAGCGTGATAGAGGACAAGGATTGCAACATGTTTTTTTTTTTAAACAAAGGATATTATCTACACTAAGGGGATGAGATGAGCTTAACCTTATAATGAACTAAAAATAATGTGGTTCAAATTCGCATTTGGCAAAAATCGAACCTAAGACCTCTCACTTACAAATGAAGAGAAATGTTAATAGACCGTGGTACTAAGTAGCATAACATGTTAAATCGTGCTAAGGTGTAATGATCGGCTAGGATTAGAACATGTTACATCGTTAGATTTGTGCCTGTTGTCATAGCAGCTATGTAACTTAAGTGGTCCGTGTGCTGTGCACGTGACCAAGTCATGTGGTTTGGGTGTTAGTTCCAATCAAGATATAAAATATCGATGATATCGGAAATATCAATAGTTCAAAAACATGGAAATTTCGATAGAAATATCGGAATATTATTGATATCGATAAAAATTAAATAAAAATCACGGAAATTGTAAAAAAAACTTGGAAATTTTTATTAAAACTTTGTAGGATGTTTATTTAGTCAATTATCTATTAGTTTCACAAAAAATTGGAAGGAAATGCATTGCATGATAGATATAATTGATTTAAGTTGATTATATAGCGAGCCGGCAAACATTGTGAGTGTAGAAAATATGTAGTAATTAATGAAAGAAGTTTAAACACACCATAATCATTTATATACATGAGTGACTTAGCAAGGTTTAAAATATCGATGATATCTGAAATATCGGTAGCCCAAAAAAATATCGATAGTCCAAAAACACAGAAATTTCGATGGAAATATCGGGATATTATGGATATTTTGGTTGCAACGGCTATGTCTCCCACACATTCCTTGTGCTGATGTGACCGAATCTAATAGAAATACAAGCAACATCTCATTCCTTATTTCCTTCTTTCCTTCTTCTTCTTGCTGCTTGAATTTGAATCAAGCTTTTGTTGATTTCTTTGCGTCTAATTCGTAAAATCAAAATACAAAACTAAACACTAACATTGACATGGCCTCAGAGCCTAGTTTGATCTGATTTTGGGGCGATAAACTGTGATTCTGATTTGACTGAGTTTCGACGAAGAACGAGTTGAATCAACCAGTTAAACGACTGGATCTGGAGCCAGCTGCGAGCTCCAGTGTCCACTGGAGTGAACAGTGACTTCTGGTGTATCAGGATGAAGACGATCTTCAAATCTCACAACCTGTGAAAGTTTGTAGGTGAAGGATTTGAGCTTCCATATGAATCAGATGATGAACTCACTGATAAGAAGAAGATTGTGACTCAAGATCTTATTGCCCGAGAGGCTAAGGCGTTGGGATTGATTTAGGAAGCTATGACCGACAAGATCTATCCCATAATTGCTAACCAAGAAACTGCAAAGGAAGCTTGGGATGTTCTGAAGCAAGAGTACCGGGGTGGATTATTAAGTTGAGAGTTGTGAAACTGCAAGGTATTAGACGATATTTTGAATATGCTCGTATGAAAAAAGGTGAGTCCTACTCTGATTATTTGACTAGATTGTTTGGTTTGATCAATCAAATGAAAATGTATGGTGAAGAACTGTCAAATAAGATGATCGTTGAGAAATTGCTGATTAGTCTTACTTCAAGCTATGATAATATCGTGTCTGTGATTGAGGGGACTAGGAAGATTGATGGAATAGACCCTACTCAAGTAGTAGCAACGTCAAGAAATTTGAGCAGAGAATGAGAAGTTACAGAAAAGGCTTTTAATAATCTTAGCATTCAACCTAGGAATAGCTTACAAGCTAATGGTTGCAAAGAAATACTGGAAGAAGGAGATAGAGGGGAATGCAAAGTCTAGTGATGGATTTGTCATTGTTATGAAACAAAATGGTGGCAAGAAAGGTTCAAAAGAAGGCTGCAAAACTTATTTTGGTGAATGTTGGTTCAAAGGAAAATTGAAGAAAACAAATAGTGAAAATCAAAATGTAAGCAGGAGAGACTATGCTGTTGATGTTGCCAAGCCCGTTAATTTAGTTCCCACCATCGCTGTCGTGTCCAACTAGAGATGGATTTGGTGTCTCTTTCAAATTCGAGATTTAATTTGGATTCAATTTCCACAGGCGACGACGATGAGGAAGACAATTTTATGCCTACGGCATTTCAAAAGAAGATATTTTGTAATGTTTAAATTTTTATATTTTTTTCTATATAATTATAAAGATTTTTTAGAAGAAAAAAGTTACATTTAGTCACAGGGAACATAAACCTTACCCCTCATAAAACAAGGAAAAAATACACGAAAAGAAGGGGCGGGGACATACACCTTACCCTCTTGAAAAAGAAAATACAAGAAAACGAGGGCGGAGACATAAACCTTACCCTTCTTGGAAAAGAAAATACAAGAAAAAGAAGGGGGACATAGGACCAAAACCCTTCTAAATAAAACCTAATGGTAAGAACTTACAAGACAAGCTGCAAAACAAAAAGGAAACTCCAAAAAGATTCGGTATAAAAGAAAATCACATATTAAGAAGGGGAGATAAACATGTGGGCAGGCACACCCAAGAAATCTATATGCAGAAAAGGAAGAATCTCTTTGGGAGATGTGACATGCCAAACAAGTGAAGATAAAAGAAGCCCTAAATAGGCTGATTTGTCAGCAACTGCATTCCTTTCTCGAAATGTATGAGAGCAATGGAATACTGTGTGCTACAATCGGGAAAATAGTTTTTCAAACATCTGGAGCGACCAAGGAGGAGAAAAGGAACTAGAAGCCCTAAATAGGCTAATTTGTCAGCAATTGCATTCCTTTCTCGAAATGTATGAGAGCAATGGAATACCTTGTGCTGCAACTGGGAAATATAGTTTTTCAAACGTCTAGAGAGACCAAGGAGGAAAAAAGGAACCTAAAACAAAGTAAGATATCATGCTAGAAGAGTCACCTTCAACCATAAATTTTGCCAACCCTGCACATGAGCCAACTCCACAGTAAGGATGACAGCATGAAGCTCCAATTGAAAGAAGTTGATAAGCCCATATTTATATGTACTTTACATCAAATTCACTTGTCTTTTCTTAGTTAGTTCCTTATATTTTTTTAGCTATTTACTTTGTTTTTGTGTTTTCTAAGATTTGTCAAGCAAAGAAAAGAAAAATAGCACAAGTTGGATTTTAAGTAACAAATTCGTCAAAACTGCCTGTGCAGGTCAGCTGACTTTGGAAGCAAGTTGTGAACCGCTCAAAATGAATTAGAGAATGAGACTTATATACCTGGAAATCTACGGATGTCTATTTTCTGGAGCATTTTGCAGATTGTTAATATCATTTTTGTAGAAAAAGTTATGGCCGTTTTAACACTGAAAGGTTCACAAGAGACTGGGCAGTTTGTAACTACAATGAAAGCAATAAACCCAATAAATCTAGCAGCAAAAATTGATGCAGCCAAGAACAAGCCAGCTGATACCTATTCAAATATCAGAGGAAATGAAAATAAAGATGAGGATTAAGTGGGAGTAATTGGCATAAAGGCTACCCAAAGAGTTACAATTGTTTTACCATTTCCTCTCACTTATTGCCATCACTAAATGGCTGTTAGTGGGTGAGCTAAGGAGAAGAAAATGGGGCACCAAGTTAAAAAGGGGAAACAGTGCAGGTGTAGGGTGGGAAAAAGAAGAGAAAGGAAAAAAAATAGAAAAGAAAGAGGACAAGGCAGCTTTGCGGAAAGGAAGGAAAGGAATGAGGAAATCTTGGCATTCTCTTCTCTCGGTTTTATCTTCTCAAACTCATGTCTTTCTTTCGGTTTTATTTGATAATAATGTGTAACTAAATTTTTAGTAGTTAGGGGCTGTTTTGAAGCCCCGAATATGATTGCAAGTTTGTTATGACATTTTGTTTGAATTACTTTTATGAATTGATGAAAATTGATTCACTACTTGTCTCATTGATGAATTCTTTATGTGTTTTCTACGGATGCATACTTAGTAAGCATATCTAGGATTCTAACGCTATGAATATGTGTGTGTCTGCCCTTGTCGAATGAGGATCTACATATGTTCTAGAGTAGTATTTGTTAATTGTGATTAACATGTGAACCAATTTCTAGGATAAGTAAGACAACGCCAGTACTTACGATGTCTTGTGATGACTCAAACTCTTTTCGTTCTTAATGATTTATACTTGTTAAATCTATGACCACGTCATTCTAGATTGCTTACTAGGGACTAAGTTAAGTTGAAAACGCCATTCTCTTAACATACTACATAAGAAAGAGTAATAGGTTGAGTTCTAACATTGAGCCAACTTGAGCATCTTCATCCGGAAATAAAAGGAATTTGAATGAAACATAACATGTTTGCATGATTATTTGGTGGTGGATAGCAATTCCCCTAACTCGTTTTTCTTAATTTGTGAACTACTTAAACTTTGTTTCTGTCCTGTTTTTGTTATATTTAATTTAAATAGCAAATCAACTCCAAAAATCCTAAATATTTGTGTGAGTGTAGCTCTGTGTGTCTAGTGTGTTCAAATAAAATTTCGTAGACTTTAGATAAGTGTAAGTTGGTCTAATAATTATTTTTCGGTGGCTGGTCAGTTGGGACAGCAATCAGTTTTTGTGACATTTTAAGTAGTTAGATAAAACAATCTTCTGTGAGAAAGACCCTTATTTTCATATGCTACAATTGACAAATCTTAGTGTTAATAAGGAAAATCAATAGGATTTTTGTGTGCTACTTTGTGGTGTGCTTTTAATCCTATCAGAAGTATGCCCAAAGCTCAAAGAGAAACCATAAAGAAAATAACCCACAAAATCTTAGAAATCCCCACCACAAGCTATAGGACCCGAGTTACCTTTAGTAAGGCCAACTATGTTCACTTTGACCCAAGGAATGGAAGAGGATGCCAAAGAATAGGAGCTAAATAAGCTTTATATGACTCAGCAAAGATTCCAAGAGAGGCGAAAAGTTGCTTATCCAAAATACCACGTAAATGACCATAAGTGAAAACTCCAACCTGCCTAATCTAAGCCAAAGTAGAACGACAAAGGTGTGAAAGGATTGAGGCTTACTTTCAAACTTCACTTTGTTACGCATCTTCCAATTAGCCATTAATAAGAAAGACCCTAATGCTAGCTATACATTCTAAGTTGTGGAGAAAACCGCTTTGACACAAAAGCAAGCTATAAATCCGAAAAGGAACCCGTAAGCGGAAGAATAGTGCCAAACTGAGTAGCAAGCCAAAACCAAACACGTTGTGCAAATTCACAACTAAAATAAAGTGTTGAGGTGGAATGAAATGACGCAAATAATGGAAGCCCAACTCTTAACAGGAAACCGATGACGAACAATTTCATAGCCATTAGAAAACGAAAAAAACTCCATATGTAAAAGCTTCTCAAATTAACACGTCATTTTCCTCATCAACTGGAAGAGGCATCTCTAAAATCTCTTTAGCCAACTTTGGAAGAGTAGAAGAAAAAATTGAAGGAATAACCTATTTTCCCATACGAATTATGTTTGAGACCTTAGTGCGAGATAGAGAATAAGCAAGCTCAGAAGCACCAACGACCTCCACAATAGGTGTATACAAGCACTTATCAACCCAAAGAGAAATATTAGAACCATTCCCAACCACCCACTGATAATTTTGAAACAAGATATGGACAATGGATTTAATACTAGGCCATATATAAGATCGCTTATAACAAGTAGAGTATAAATGACCATGCAACTCAAATCGCTCTTTAAATAAACACTCCATGGAGAATTAGAAGTAATAACAACCATTCAAAGCTTTAAGAGAGCCGTAGTATTTATAGAGCAAAGATCACATAATCCAAACCACCCTCATTTTTCGGTCACAAGGGCAAGTGAAATAGGTGTTCATTGTTGGAATGAAGATTGTTCTCCAAATTTATTTAATCATCTACTTAAGGCATAATTAAATAGGTGTTGGGGGCAATTGGTTTCCTTTTCCTAGAAGAGTCTATCTCCAAGTCAAAGAAAGAGACACATCAAATTGGGAAACAACTCTACACACCCATGCAGCTTGGGACTTCTACACCTACTGCCATTTTCCTACATGTAGCACAACAAGTGTGGGGGCATTTGTGGAGCCTAAAATAATGTCAAAAATTCTAGAGGTGACACATGGACATTTTCTCAAGAAATACAAGATTGCCCTCATTGAATGAGCAGGCTTCTCAGATACTCCCACCAGCAGCTCAACACCCTTGAAGGTCTCAAAGCAGCTGAATACGACTACCCACATCTCACTTGCCCATGGCAAGAAAAAATTAAGGCATTAAAGATAAGAATTAAATACCAAATCCTATATTCAATACATTCCCAATTGAAGATTGACTCCATTCAAGTAAGTAATCCCTATTTAAATCAATTAATTAGGGATATTTACACCATTATCTCAAAATATTATTTCATATTTAATATCTTGAGAATATTCTCCTCATATACCTTGGCCAATAGGATGTCGCCATGTATATGGTAAAACCCTAACACCATGGCCAACCCTTCCTCCTATAAATACCTCCACCTCTACCAAATTTCAGTAAGCTTTTGCTACCCCTAAAAGCCCTAAACACATACTCTTTTCAGAGAAACTTAGGCATCAGAGATCCATTGGCCTAAACCCCCTCCCACCTCATGGGCGCGTGAGGCTTAGGTCTTTAATCAAAGGTATTGATTGTTTTGCAGGTGTATTTTCGTCAAAGTAAGAGACGGTAGAAATTGCATCGACAATTTGATTATGTTTACTCCTAAGAAAAAGAAATTGCAACTACAAGGCACCCCATTTACGTATGAGCCAAAGCACACAAATCAATATCAAATAGATTGTAATAATGTAGTTGAAGAAAACACTTGCAAGGTAAAACATAGGATATAGCATTCCCAAGTAATCAAATTACTAATACGAAAAACATAGGAAGAAGAAAACACTCACGCTTTCGTGGAAAGCTCGGGCAGTAGACAATACGAAAAACTAGCTTTAATCTACAGTTCAAGATTAATTCAATGAAAGTAACTAGTTAATCAAAACAAGAGTAATATGAAACTAATAGTCCCCTTTATTGAAGAGGTTAGAGCTTGCTGGTTAGCTAGGCGAGAGAATATATATAGAAAGAAAAATAGAGAGATGGAAAATGAAGTAAGCTTGAGCTTGGGGTGGCTGAATTCCCGAATAATGTAAGGTTCCATGGCACCACAAATTGTTTGAAATTTCAAACCATGCCATTATACAGCAAGATATATATATATATATATATATATATATATATATATATATATTAATTTCAAAGCATCCTATAATTTCAAAGCACCCTATATAGTTTTGATTGCAAGCCTCAAGGTCTACACCTAAGGTCCCACAAAGACACATTTCAGAACTAACTTTGTCCTCTTCTTGTAGCACATCAACAAGCAAGAGCCCGACTACACATCCAAAGTGTTAATCCCTTGGGGAGCTGTGCTGAGGTCCGAGGATCCTTCTCCAGAGAAATCTTTGCCCGAACAGGATCCCTTCATAAATATATATTGGGGCATTTAATAATTATTTCGTTTTGAACTTTTATTTTCACCCTTTTAAAGTTCGAAGACTGAATTTTTTTTTTATAGCAAAAAACTGAAAACTACTATTTTGAGTTTTAAAATTTTGGTCATGAGTTTTCATTTTGTAGATTGAAAACTAAAAATAGTTACCAAATAAGATTTTGGTTTTCATAAAAGTGAAAGGAAAACGAAATGGTTATCAAATGACCTCTTAATTTTTATTTTTTATTTTAAAAATCAAAATCAATCAATTTTTAAAACTCAGAAAAATATTTTTTGGTTTTTATTTTTTTGAAACAGAAAACTATTACAAACAAGTTTTTAGTTTAAAAAAATTAAAAATTAAAAACAAAATGGTTTATTTGATTTACATAATGATGTATTTACACCAAGAGGTAGGAAATTTGGGCTAAATCGCACGATAGATCAGCTATAATAAATTGGTTTTGAACTCGTCATTCACAAAATTCGATCGAACCAAGATCTTCTACTTAATGTGAAGATGAATATCACTAGACTATACTAATAAATGGCACATAATTATCTGATTTAGTTTTTAAATGACAAAACCGACAACCCGAACTTGTCTAGGCCAAAATAAAAGACCATGCCCACTTTGACATAAACCAATAAACAGGGAAATAAATTAATATTGAATTCACCATCTACAAGATTCAAACTGAGGACATTTCACTTATAGATAAAGAGAATCATCACTAAACTATAGTATTAAGACCATCTCCAACCGAATGGTCTAGAGGGTTAGAGGGCCCAAAAACGCCCGAAAACCGTCTCCAACCGAGGGTTAGGCCAAAGGGCTCGTGGACCCCACTGGACAAAAAAGAGTCAAAGGGCCAATCGGCTGGCCCAAATGAGCCAGCCAGCCAGCCAGCCTCGGGCTAGGCCAAAAATTTGAGTATTCCTATCGGATATAATCGACAACAATATAATATATTCCTGTCAATTATATCCAACAGGAATGCTAGGCCAAGTTTTCCCATAAATACCTAAACCATTCATTCACCATTCCTCACAAATTTTTCACCATTCCTACACCATTTAATTTTTAGTTTTAAAATATAAGTTGTTATAGTTTTTTTATTTAAATAATAAATTATGTTTGGCCCTTGGTTGGAGACGGTTTTTGTGACAAGAATAAAACGAGTCCCTTGGTCCTCGGTTGGAGATAAAGACAAATATGATCATATACTGTTTATTAAAATATTAATATTTTAGAGGATCAAAGAACTCGTTTTAGGTTGGAAATGGCCCAAGTGACAACCATTCCCACATTATAAAAAATAAAAAAACAAGAAGAAGAAGAGATCAAATTCCCAAAAAAGGTGTAAAACTTGGGGGTTACGCGGCGTTCCCCCTGCATTTCACAGCTAAGCAAAAGCATACATGCCCAGAAAGAGAGGTAACAATATAAAATGCATTTATAACAACACAGCTGGGTTTGCATTGAAAGCATTTCCTAACCACTTCTCTACCCTTAATTTTGTGAAGCAAATCCTCAGAACTTTGCTGTGGCATGGCCGCTACCACCACTCAACCATGCCCATTTCCTCCATCCCCACCCCCACACTAGTCCTTCCTATTACTCCCATCCATCGTCTCCACCTTCGTCTCTGTCGCTTTCACTAATCTTTCCTCTGGTCTCTGTCTCTGAAGTACTTGCATGGCAAACGATGCCGTTTTCAGGTCTTCACTTGTTTGGTTAGCAGTAGTAATAGTGGTAGTTGGAATATGTACTCAGTCCTTGAAGAAGATGATGTTAACGTACGTGGTTGGTGTGCTGGGAATTGCTGGGCTGCTTTTGCCTGATTGGGGTTACTTTGACCGCGACTTCTCGCGGTGGACCTCTCCGGTTTCGTTCGAGGAAAGAGCCTCTGAAATTGCCCAAAGATCTGGACTAATAACAAGGTTAGTTGTTTAGAATTATGGGGTTTTTGTGGGGTGGTGTTTTCCAATTAATAATGTTTGGAGTTCCTCGAATTGACTAATGCATACGGATTTGTATTCTATGTCTATATTGTGTTCTATGATTTGATTGATTGATGCAAGGCCTTGTATTTGAAGTAGGTAAAAATATTGCTTGTATAAAAAATTATTTGACCCGAACTTTTCAGTCCATTAGGCTGAATTGGAAGCTCAAAAGTGATACCAAGCTTGAAAATTTTAAGCTCGCTTGAGCTCGGCTTGTCTAAGAACTAAGCCAAACCTTGCTTGAGCTCGTAAAAATTTAAACAAACAAGGCTTAAGTAGAGTGATATTCAGTTTGACTCGGCTTGTTTACAACCCTAAATTCAACCAATTTTCACTTTTATTGTATTATATTGTACTTCTTTAACCGATAGTTTTGACCCACTCCAAAGTGAAATGTATACTTTCACGTCGAAAATCTTTTAATTATAATACAAACAACTTTTAGTTATCTAACCTTATTAAACGTTAATTTGCAAAACAAAAACCTCATCAAACATTATATATACTAGAGTTGTATGTATTTAATAAGACTAGTTGTTGTATCACTTAGTACTACGGTCTAGTTACATTTTTTTTTACTTTCACGGAAGATGTTTTATGTTCAAATCTCGTGCATGACGAGTTTGAAGGCAATGTATTACCCTACTCTTTAGTATAAATATATCGTTGTATTAAAAAGTAAATAAATATGACTCACTCTTTTGGTTCGTGAGCATGTTGTTTTGCATATTTGCAATTTTTAGGTTGCTTCCCTATGGTTGCTATACTCTCAGTTCATTTCTTGACAGCTTAAACTTTTGGGACTCGTGGTTGATTAATATGGTATCTGTATTTGTACATTTTTTTTTAACAAACGATATTATTATTATCTACACTAAGTCGGTGAGGAAGTGGGCTAAGTCTCACGATGGGTAGTAATAATGTGGTTCAAATTCGTCTTTGGCAAGAATCGAATCTACAATCTCTCACTTACAAATGAAGAGAAATATCACTATACCGTACTAAGTGGCTCTTTGTACATAATTTTTGCATGACTCAGATATATCGAACTAGATTTCTTGTTCATGGGTTCATATGTTATCAATTCATAGACCTTCAAGAAAATGATAATGTGAATTAATTAAGGTAATTATCAATGGCACTTTAAAAATCTAATTGTGTATTTTTTGTAAGAGTATCTTTTTTTTTTAAATATTGAAAGTTTGGGGCGCACAATTAGATTTTTGGAGTGCGAATAACAATTTCTGATTGCGGAGAAAGATTAGTGGTTTATAAGGCAGTCCCTGAGTTCTGACTTGTAAGAGCATTATCCTTTTGCAGATTTAGAAAGTATCCTCTGAGATTGGCTGCTTATGCCACAGTTTATGGGTTTGCTCTGTACAAGTGGTGGGTGTTCATATCAAGCTAATATCAACCCAATCAAGATTAATGGTCTACTTTTATTTGATTTAATTGTATTTAAGTGACTATAAGCACAATTGTAATTTGTTGTGAATAGAAATCAATTAATTTTGTTGTTTACAAAACTAAATTTCATCTTCCAAACCCACAAAATGCGGTATTATACCAATGGGCCACATATTGGTTCTAGGACTAAATTGTAACCTTGGTTCATGAATTTAAAGTTTAACAAAATTGGTATTTAAATTGAAAAAATTGGAGCATTGGTTCTTCAAAGGTGTTCATATGCGTGTCACGGGAAATGCACATAAACCCATTTTAATTATGTTCCTGTCACATGGTTAGTTTTGATGGAAAGTCTCACGAAGTTGGTATCAAAGACTAATAATCAACAATTTTGTCAAAGTTTGATATCAATTTTCAAGTGTAAGGTTCGGCATCAGCTACCACAGCAGAAGACCCAGCTGCTAGTTCTATATCAAATAGCTTATAAATTTGACAAAAGCACTTAAACTTTTTAATTCTTTATCTCCTAATGCAGTGTGGAGCCAAAAAATAATCAAGAGGCGACACGTGGATTTTTAGGTGAAGAGGACAAAATTATCCTCGAGACACACCGAGTTTCCTACATGCGAGCAGCGGAGAATCATCCATCAACCGAGTCAAGAGTGCCCAAAATAGGTAACAAGTTCAAATTTATCTTATTCATCTTTACTCCATATCCTCTACAAGGAAATCATTCCATAACCTTCAAAACCTTCCATATAAATTAAATTAATTTGGTTAATTAATGGATTAATTCCTAAATAATCCATTAATCACCAAATTAATCACCATTACACCCCAAAAAACATCCAAGGGCTGGCCACTCTCTCTTCCAATGAGGGCTGGCCATGCTCTATAAATAGGACTCCATTTTTCTTTGAAAGACTAGGTCTACACTCTTGCAAAACTCCAAAAACTCTCTAAACATTTTTCTCTCTAAATTCTAACTTTGGCATCGAAGGTTCTTCGGCCAAAGCCCCCCCAATTCATCGTGGGCGCGTGAGACTTTTGGCCTTAACTAAAGGTGTTAATTGTTTTGTAGGTGCAATTTTGTCAAGAAAGAAGAAATTTGCATCCACATGCAGTATAGGTTTTTTCTTTTTAAATTGATCAGCTGGTGACTTCACCATAACAGCTCACCATCCCGAGTCGGAAGATTCACAGAGGTCATCAAGAGTATTCCAGTTGCAGGTTGATTTAAAATGTGCGATGTACTACGGAATTCAGGGGAAACTACAACAATATATAAAGAGTATTCCAGCTTTCCAACAAGAATAACCAAGAACCAACATAAACTTTCAACATTTTTTTCAACGTGCAAGTAAAAAGCTCTACAGACAAAATGTAAAAGTTTAAATAAAGGGTTGTTTTATTAACATCCTACATTTTGTTAACTACACCCCCACATACTTAATTCACTCCACATTTTCTTTTTAAATTAAACTTTTTCTTAACACACCGCACGTATTTTCCAATATTACCCTCACACCTCACATCTCACATCTCATACACCCCACACCTCACATCTCACACGCCCCACAATCATCGACTAATTAACCACACATCAAACTCTTCATCTCTTTCAAACAAAAGAATAATCCATATTTTAAAGACGAAAGATGAATTAAATTGTTGTATAAAATCTCCATCTTGTCTTTTGATTTATAAACATCCGTCAAATTTTCTTGAACAATCACGTTGGATTCTAAGAAGCTTAATGGACAAATGGTAAGAACTGTTCTTATAAGGTCATGTTAGTTCCAATTAGAGCAGGGCTTTGCAAAAAGTCAAATTTTTATTCCATTATTTAAATAATTTCTCGAATGTGAAAACCAACGAATGAACGAGGAGCAAAACTCGATTTTTTGTTCCGTTGATCAAAAGATATATTTTCATCAACTTGTTTGTGTTTTTAGAGTTTTGTTTTACAATGAAGAGTAAGAGCTACTATGAGGGCTCGAATAGTCATTTCATATTAGAGTTACAAGTTGTTTAGTATTACATTTTTTAGTGAGGTGTATTTAACAACATGTGGGGTGTTAATAAAAAAAAACCCTAAACAAATTCTAATATAATTTCAAATTTTAAGAAGCAATATTAGAAGAGGAATAATCAAACTTAGGAACTTAAATGCAAAGAAAAATACTTTTAAGTAACTAAGCTAAAAGGCGTGTAAACAATTTTGTCTAAAATGAATTCAACCTCAAAAATACATGTTTTAGGAGGAATTTTTTGATATGGGTCCAAAGTAACTAAAAATTGGACTTATTTCAAAAATAAAAAATCATTAAAAATTGAACCTATTTCAAAAGTAGGCCTATAAAATTAGACCTATTTGAAATTTTCCCTAAAAAAATTTAATTCCTAGAAGCCAAGAAACTCCTAGAAAAAATAAGGCAAGGTTATTTAGGTAACTCTACCAGGAAATAAACCCTAATTGTTTTCTCCTTCCACAGTCGTAAGCGCTCACCTCTCTCTCCGACTCTCTGCACTCTCTCTCCCCTTCTCTCTCTCAATTCCCGGCGTCCAGAAATTGCAGACCCCACTTCGGAGAATCACAGGTATTTTGCTTACCCAACTTCCCCCATTTTCTCCTTTGTACTTTTCGGAGAATCAGAAGCATATAAAAGTTAGGTGCTTTTAGGAGAATCGATTCTGCCCTGTTTATGCACTCTGTATGTAGCTCTGTGTTTGGATTAAATCCGCATTGTTTAATTAGCTTTGGAAGATAAACCTTTTAAATTTTGGTGAATTTGATGTTCATTTGTCTCCTTAGCCTCCTCTTTAGATGTTTTTAGCCAATGTTTGAGTTAGTACATTTTTCCACATCAAGAACAAGCAAAAACACACGGCACATTGCCGAATCTAATTGCGAAAACACGAAACATTTTTGTGTCTGATTGGTATTAATTTATGACTTGAGGTCCTCGAAACGAACTGACCGTGCATTTTAGGCTAGATAGTAAGAAAGATGAGGCTGCTAACCCACAACATGCTGTCGTCGAACATCAAGGGCGTGACCAACGGCTTCCCTCTGCGCATTGAAATAGAGAAGGTGGTTGAAAAGCCGGTCGATTTCAACCCTGAATTCCTCAGGAACATGTTCCCTAAGATCGAGTGGAAGGCCCTTGTCAATGCCGCTCGTAGTATGGGCTATGTTGAGCTCCCTGAGGAGGTTGAGCCTTCTACGCTTTATTCTGAAGATTTTCTTCACAAGTTCCACCATGCCCTTTTGGAGCTTCATCTCGAGGAGGGTGCGCTTATTTGCCCTGAGACCGGTCGCCGCTTTCCGGTTAGTAAGGGAATACCCAATATGCTGCTTCATGAAGACGAAGTGTGATTCGGGTCATATGGTGGATCGTACTTGCTCTTGTTCATCTTGTACTTAGGGTATTTGTACTGCAGATTTTGGCATTATGAATTGGTATGCCTTGGTTTTGTTTAGTTTTTATGTTTTCGTTTGGTCTTACCATTAATTCGTACCGTTGAGGATCGTTGAATACAGTAGTCGAAGAATCACGTAGAACTAGCATTGACTATAGAGAGTACATGCACTCGAGTTTAAATCTCCCTCCCAGCAATTTAGATCAGATTAAAAAAAATATTGCTTGTATTCGTGCGGAATGAGACGCAACAGTGTCAAAATCGCTAAAAGTATATTAATTCCCTTCAACTTTAGTAACAAAATGTGAGAGTTATGGCACGAAAGGAAATCTCCCTTACTATTTTTGCAGCGAGGGGTTTCACATGATGGAGGTGGGACGCCGAAAACCCAATCGGGAACATTCAAGTATTTCGATCTGAACACTTCCCTCTCTTGTGCAGAACAATAGAGTGAAATCTCAATTCGTCTGCTTTTCTTCTCAATGGCCATGGCTAGACCAGTCGGGAACTGCCCAATACGATTGAGACTCGTTGAGCAAAGATATTAAATTTATCTTGGAACTGAATTAAAAGAGTTGAAGAAAGTTCATACCGTCCCCATTGCAACCATTGGTATGTTACACCTCCTGAAAATCCTAAACAGAAAGCATGTCCATGCCCTGAAGAACAACAAGAGAAGCGCTTTCTGAATAATGTAAGATCAATTTTCTCAACAAAACTAGAAGGGATAACAAGTAACAATGCGGTTAAACTACATTGGTTCAACATTTTGAATTGATAACAAGAACCGAATCCATGTTCGTGAAGCGGGTTGAGGGATTTCAGGGTAAAAACAACTTAGAAGATAAGAAAAAAAACCAACTGCCCTCCTCCAGGTTTCCTTGAGGAAGTGAACCCAGACTATTAGCGAATTCTATTTCAGTAAATTGTCCAACATCACTAAATTATGGCAACCTATTTATGCCTTGAAATATCAGATTCTCTAATCTGTCCTGTAGCCGATGGTTCAGGGGACTATTATCCCAGAGAAGATTAAAGGAAACATGAACAAACCGGTCTTATTAATCTAGTCTCCAAGTTCTTGAGGATCCATTACATCCCATCTGGTATAAATTATAATCAATCTCTAACATGACGCCGCATGTTTTAAGTTTCCCACATGGCGTTGCACGATTGTTTTGGGATATTGCCACCTTGGCAACTATGTTTCAAGTAAGTCTGTGGCCTGGTCTTGGGTCCCTTTTATATCCTATGTCCATTGGCTTCCTATGTTCTCTAAAAGAATTTGTACCGTGTTTCAGTTCCAGTTCCATCAGTCCCTACGTCTGGTCTTCATGCCCCATGGAAATAAATTTTCAAAGGAGAAATAAAGTTGAACACTTATCACAAGGTTATAAAAGGGAGGACAGTTTTAATAACCGAATCAAGACACTTCCCGGGTTCTCATCTACATCTTTCCTAATAGCAGTATTCATGTAAATGGTACCATCAGAATGTAAGATAGAAGAAAATAGCTGCTAACCATGCAGATGAGCAATATACAGAAAGAAACAAGCTTGATCTTGCAGTACCAAGAAGGCCCTTTAGTAGTACAGAGTAATGCCTGCATATATAAACACATAGGGAGCATAAACAAAAACCAAGATTACACTAACGCAAACGCACATATCCAATTTGTATATTTTGTAAGTAGCTTAATCATGACAAGATTATAGGAATCCAATATGCATATACGTACACACGAAATTTAGTATCATAGGAAAGAATGGTGATGGTGATAGAGTCTCAGTACTCAGCAATGCCAACCACTAAGAAGACAGCAGAGTAAAAACAAGACAAAATTAGGAGTTCTTCAACAGAAATAAGAAGGGAATAAACAATCATAGATCAACATGTTTCTGTTGCTCCACTTTGTAATACATAATCACGCCAGAAATTTACTAGTGATTTAAATTCCTATTCCAGTCAAATACGTGCTACACAAAACCTGTCGTATATTGATTAACAATAAGACAGTTCCTAAATTAGTAATGCATAGGCTGCTATCTAAGCTTACCAACAAAATGACTTGTGGTGAATCCGAAAGCCACAAATGTAAATCTCAAAACTTCTTCCCAGTCAAATCAATTCTGTTTTCTTGGAAATTTCAACCAGAAGATGATAGCACTTGATCACATCTTCGTAAAGCATCACCAGTATAGAAAATAAGATAATCAAGAAAGTAAATCATATGATGAATCACCTTTTCAAGAGATCTTGCCGATGAACTATAAGGGCAGGAATCAGGTACACTGGAAGATAAACTGGCAATGCTCTCTTATAGGCTTGAATAAGGAAAGAAAAAATATGTCCACTACATGACTGATCTCTGTGTACAATCTGCGTGAATTGTGAAAGCTTAAGACATAAAAGCTGTTGATGCATCAACTAAAGAAGTTTGATAAGAATGACAAAAAAACTCAAATTGTTTTCACATGGTAGGAAAAGAAAGTAATATGATTATTGAAGGATGCATACCAAGCAAGGAACTTCCATGCCTGGATCGAGTTTAATATTTGTTCCAATCGATTTGCAATGTTTCCCAATTAGTAAAAGGTATGCCACTTGCAATCTCTTTGACACCTTACAATATTACTGTATCCTTTCCTCCGTGTTTATTGAGAAAGGATTTGTATGATGGAGGTAAACTTTCCTGCTTCAATATGTAAGCAGACCTGAGAAATGAATTTTTCCTCCTTTTAGCTGTAGTGCAGTCTAAAGTAATGATAATCAGAAAACTTTCACGAGTTTAATGGTCTATAAAACTCTGAAAAAGACATTTCTAAGTTTGTTAAGGACACCACACAAAAACGAAGAGACATAAACTTAAATAAGTCAACTAATCTAACATCTAATCTAACAAAATCTATCGTTTAACAAAAAAAATAAAATAAGCCAACTACAATATCCCTCAAGTTTTAGTTGATTTGGTGGAACGGTCACGGTCATAGCGGGTTAAGGAAACTGTAACTTCAGAAACAAATAACTTTTCAAGATTTTCCATCAAATATTGTGACTTAGTAGTAAAATCTGCTTAGAAGACCAACGGGATGAACTTACAAACAGATCCAAAAGTCATGTCAGTTTTATTTATTTCCACATAAAGTTATACATGGAAGTGCATTTCCATCATCCAGACAATCCTTAACACGAAAATGAGGGAAAATAATCCATGTCAAAACATTCAAGACTTCGCTAACAATATTTTGCAGTAAAAAAAAAAAAAACAAAAAAAAAACAGCGTCTTGCAGTAAAGGGTACGTACAAAATTTGCCAAGAAGAGAGACACATAAGGAAAATGTCACCATGAGCCCAAGTGAGAGGTTTACAAATGCCACCAAACCGTTTGCTTTTAATCCCAAACTGAAAAGCTAACACAGCAGTGCGCATAAGAATGTAAATAGCCAAGCTCGTATGCTGCATGTTCAGTCAGGTAAGAAGCATAGATGGCCCTGCTATAGCGCCTGCCACCAGAGCCCTCCATTTGGCTGTCCCGAACTAGAGTAACGAGTAACAACCAAACACATCAAGTAAATCACAGCAAACAGATTGAATCTAAAACCGAAAATAAGAACTTGAATCATGGAAGAACAAGGAAGTTGCCTAAGGTGACCGGCCAACGAACAAATAATCTCGTCCACCGAAATAAATGTGCCAGCAAAAGTTCCAAGAAATAAACCATATCTCAACGTCTCCTTCAGAGCAGTAACAATTGCTTCATTATTTGTAAATGATCATAGTTTTACTTAATTACCATAATTAAACAAATTACACTGTTAAATTTAAATTACTGAAAATTCAAAGCTAGGTGAGGTTGTCACCTGAGAGATGCTAAGAGCTTCCGTCGTCTCAGCCGAGCTAGGATGGAGAAAATGGCGAGGCCGGCGCCGATGGTGAAGCCCTTAATCGAAGCAGTCACGACTCGCCGCAGCTTCTCCGAGTCGCTCAGCGGCGCAGAAACGTATCCGAGCGAGGAAGAATAGTAAAGCGACGAGGGTGAGGGATCGAACTCCCTGCAATGCTCACAGTTCGGATCAGGGGATATGTGGTGCCCGCCGTTGGCGCCACCATTTTCGCAGGCGAAGCACGTGCAGAGGTCGCCGTCCGGCGGCATCTTTTGAATGCAGGAATGGGGTTGCGAAGACGATTCGGAGCAGATGGGACTGCTACTCGAAGGAGAAAGGAGGGCTTTGCGATTATCGACAGGGCTAGGTGGTTTGAACTTTGGAATAATGACGTCATTTTTCTACTCTTTTCTTTTATTACAATTTTCGGTATTTATATGCTTAAGACGAGGGGATTAAGGCTGACGACGGTAATGAGTTAGAATTATAATAAATTCATCATCTGTATAACCAAAAAATATAGATATAGAGTATAAGCACGCACCTGCAGCTGCAGAGCATTTGGGAATAGTAAATTTTGTACAGTGTGCCACAATTTCTTTATTCAGTACAAACTACAGTGGGCAAGTAAATGAGGGCAGCAAACAGCAGACCACCTCCCATTAGTAGGCACGCGCTGCACGGGCGAAAAGCGGACACGATCTGTATGAACTTGTTTCTTGGGAATGAAACTCAAATTTCGGCAGTGACCAAAGAGTTAGATTTGCAAATGAGTTAGCATGAATTGAGAGAAGATTCAGATTTGAGTATTTTCCTTGCTGTCACAATACAAGAATCTTGTGGGATTCTGAGTATATAGCTGCTGCTCCTCACTGAGTTCCCCGTGAAACCTCCAATTGTATACCTTCAGATGTACTCATTCTATCTCTTCATTCTACCTTGAGAACAATCTTCATAAACTCATAGACAAAGTAACTTATTGCGGCCGAAGGAAGTACCTGAGAATGCAAAACACTGAAGATGAGAACAAATGCATAGCCTTAATGCTTGAATTTTGAGAGAAATGCTACACGGGAAATGAATGGAGAATATTACGGAAATGGAATAAATGAGTCCAAACAAGCATATCAAATTTTAGTATGGCCAACAAAAGAATGTTGTTTTTCTTGGGGGCTAACACAGAAAGGCGAAATTTGGAAAGAAATACTCAGTTTGGGAGCCACGTACCATCCCATAAAGCCTATAAAGCATATGCCATAGGAAGAGCAAAGACATGATAAAAACAAAAAGGATAAAATCAAATAGCAGAACTTATGAATCCATACTGTTTACCAAAATTTCAAAGCTGCTGAAACCAAGACATTTAAATGAGAATATGACAACCAATTGGCTAAATCGATCGAATTTATATGCAGAAGCTATGACCATGTTTATGATTCCAGAAGCGTCAAATTGACCATATTAACTTCCATAAAATACTACAAATGGCTAAGTAAATGGTGATCCTTGTAATGACATACCTGCAACAAGCTGGGGATAAGTCCTGCATAGAGAGCTGGGACACCTCCATGTTCAACTATTTTAATACCAGTTGCCAAGGCATTCATTTTAGTTGCCTGGACTTGTAGTTGTAGTTGTCTCCTCACCACTTCAAATGGATATGTGGCGGCTTCTGCACAAGCACCAGAAATAGCTCCATATAGTAAAGTCCGAACCGGTCCCAACTCCAGTTGGTCCAAAGCACTCCGACCCCACCCCTGTTGGCTCATCTTGTGAATTCTTTTCCTTCCATCATGGGAGTGCAGGTATGTTGATTTTAATATATCATAGACACCATAGAAAACTGCACCTGCAGGTGCCATGCTTGCAATGGAGGGTACTAAGCCCTTATAAAGCGAAAAGAACCCTTCAGTTTGGATCATGTGGCGAAAAGCACCAATCACACCACCCAAGGCTTCCCCACCAGGAGCCACCAACTGAGTCCGAATCTGAAACACACAACAATTAAGTTAGATATAGGTCATTAGGGTTAGTATTTGTGTGTGATAGTACATAGTAGGGTACAATCAATAGCATCATAAACTCTCTTTTACTTTACGTATTTTCATCAGGCATAACCTAGGAGTTAGATCTGCCACAGAAGTTCAGAAGGTAAAATCAATGCCATTTTGATCTGCAAAGTGCTTGGCTTACAGGTAGGAAATCTTTGTATTTCTTCAATTAGAAGGGCAAACCATGATTTTTTTTTCCTTAAAAACAGACTAAGCTGCAAAAGGAAGACCTCATTTTCAACATGCGAAAGAAATCCTTTATCTATGCAACATCATACCCAAAAATATCAAACAATTTATGCATGACCACAGGAAATATCACAGTGGCACAAGTTGTGTAGAGTGTGCATACAATACAACATTCAGCAAGGAAGGGATTCAACACATCATCTGAATTACGGAACTTTTATGAGTTTTCTTCTGGGCATTTGACATATCAAATACTTTTCCAAGATCCACAATGCCCAATTTTATATTCAAGCGGAATTAAGGCTATATAGAAGAATTTAGAAAAGTGATTTTAGATTCAATTATTGCTATAATACAATGCTACAGGTAATTTCTGTTAGGATTTTGGCTCGTCAAAGTTAGTGTCTTATTTTGTTTAGGATTGTACTAGGGAAAATAAAGGCGCACCGATTCTTTTCCTAAAGGACTAGGAAAGAATCAAAGTTTCCTTGTACAATTAGATTGGGAATCCTAGAAGATAACTGGAACAGAAAGCCGAGAGAGTTTACGGGTGATTAGTTCAAGGGTTTTGCAAAAGTACTGTAACTCTATTATTATTCAAAGAAGCCGTGATTTCTCTGCCCAGGGAAATCACAACTGGACGTAGGCAAAAGTCATGCCGGACCAGTATAAATCTTATGTTTCGAGTTCTCTATTTTACTAAGTTTTAGTCTATTGATAGATACATCAAAGAGCAAGATCCAGAGGGAGTCAGAACTATAACAATTTCTAGAACCGACATGACAATTACTTACATATACTAAGGATATATCTCATGTACCACCAACAAGTAATATCCTAATCTGCTTTAAGAAAGTGCATTCAAAAAGAGGAAAAGGCCAACATTTTCCGAGTAAATCATATGTTATTTCAGAAGATCTTATAATCTATCTCTCTGCCCAAAGGTATTCCAAGTTAAACAGCATGCCCTCTTTAAACACTCCCAATTACAGGTACTTTACACTAGCCTAGGTTATGGAAGGGAAAAGGAGAAATTATATCATTTAGCTGTGTCACCACATTAGGGAATTAAACATTTACTTGAATATCCATTTCTACCTGGAAGAACGACCCCATTTCAGCTAGTGATTGACCAAACGGACGAATTCTAAACTCACTTACCGTGTCAAGAGGTAAGCAGAGTGTGGCAGCAGTAATTCCAGCTGCAGCACCAGCAACGAACCTCTCAAAATTTGTGGTCTCCTTATTTCCGGAGAAGCGGAGCAATTGTTTTCTGTAAGTATCATAAGCATAGAAATTGATTGCTTTAAATGGAGCTGTACGAAGAATATTGACTAGGTTCCCCTTCCAAAAGCCCCTCAACCCCTGATTAGCCGCAATTGTCTTAACGAGCTCAAATAGATGCCTCTGTTCGCCGCGCACTATATACTCCAGCTTTAGTCTCTCAAGAGGTGCAACAAAAGTTCTGATACAATAAGCTTCAGTCAGCAACATATAAAGAACGAAAAAGAAACTCTAGAGTTCGATATGATGATCTCTAAAACCACATTGTAAATGAAACATAATTCTCTGAATTTCGATTTACGTGTTTCGTTCAATTCATCTAATCATAAAATTCCCATTCTAAATAAAGTAATAGGAAATCAACTTACTTAAATCAACAAATTTATACAATCAACTGAAATAATATTAGTGGGAAAATCAATTCCATAATTCTTCTAAACAATATATATTATCAAGGGTGGTGCTATTCACACCTCTATTTTTACTTCTCACGCTCTCAATTTTTGGCCGTCGAATTGAATGAATTCAAGAATATCAACGAACAAAAATAAACAGGGCGTGTGAGAGATAAAAGGTGTGTGAATATCCATCTCAAATGCAATTTACACAAATTACCCCAAAAAAAATTGGAATGAAAAATATGAAAAAAGGCAAAAAAGACACAGACCTGGAAACCATGGCGGCTATAGCACCAGACCACAAATGCTTGGTGGTATTCATGGCCCTACCACTCCTAACCCCAACTTTCTTTCTCTTCCTCTCTGTAACCACCGCCGCCGCTGTCTCCTCCGAACTTTCATCTCCATTCTGCACCAAACACCCTTTAGACTCCCGAACAACCCCATCGCTATTCAAGCTCACGGACAAGAACCCACCGCCGGCCACCGCCCTCAGCCTACACCAGTACGACGAACCCGCCCCGGAAACGACAGCCGAAGACGGAGAGTTATTCTTAAACGACACAACGGAATTGAGCAGGGAATTGGGAATCGTGGGTTCCAAGAAGAGGCCGCCGGTGATGAAAAGGGTGGGATTTGGGTCGTCCATTTGGTTAGGCGCGGGAATGGAATTGGATTTGGAGGGTGTGGATGGTGGTAGAGTCAGAGTGCGGTGGGCGGTGGGAATGGGATTGTGGGATTGGAGAGTACGAGGGGGGAATGCGATGGAAATGGGAATGGGAAGAAGGGTTGGGGAAAACAATGGCGGATTCGATGGCAGCAGCTTTGCTTCCATCGCCAAACATGCATAGTAAAATTCAGTTCCCTCCTATGTCCTATCAGTCCAATGGCCTATGGCTATGCCCTCTCACTCCACACACAGCCAAGTCGGTTTTTCTTGTTTAGTCAGTTTTTTTATTTTTTTATCTTTTTGTTTTTTGTCTATCTGGCGCCTATGTCTATGTTCTGAATAAATTAAGACAAATATTGTCGTACGGTTTACCATTATAAGACCTATTGATTGTGTTGTGTTTGTGACATATTCGATATTTTAATAAATGGTGTCGTTAACGTGTACCTGACCTGCTACCAGTTAAAAAAATATTTTTTTACTTCAATAATAATTAAATAAAAATTGTCATATTGAATTAGTATATGTATACATACCACCACATTGTCACTAAAGTATATGTATATATACCACCACATTGTCATATTGAATTAGTTTGGCAACAGGCTAGCGCCTAGTGCCTAGGCGGGGTCTAGACGAGCGCCTAGGTGGATTTAGGTAAATTTTATGTATATCTTATAAATAAGTGTATATTAACATTTACAAAAAATTATACTAGTATGAATTTCATGAATAAGATAATAAAAATGATAAAATGTAAAAAGAGTATCCAACAAGTCCAAAATTTAAAAACACATTAAGCATATATGCCACATAATTATAGTGAGGATTATTGTAGGATGACTGTGATAGCCCGTTCCGAATTATTTTTATCGATGGCGTGAAATGTCGATTTCGCCTTTGAGCGTTGGATTGTGAGTGTGTGAAATGGGTCAATTATATTAAGTCGTAATTCTTTGGACCCAATTAGGACTAAGTTTACTTTTGTTGGTTTTGGTTGGTGACCAAGTGAGGACCACACACACAACAACACCCTGTGCAATCTCTCTCTCTCTCTTTCTCTCATCTTCTAGGCCTTCCTACCATTTCCGTACAAAACGTACAGACGAACACCAAACTCACACTTCGTGCACGGATCGACGTCAACCAGGTAATATTCGAACTCCTTGTAAGATTTTGAGTTCATCCATACCCTTTTTAGATCGAGAAACCTTCGTGTTCTCGAGAAACCACAACTGCCGAATTCATGAACTGTTCATGCACTCATAAATATGAGGTTTTTAGGAATTTTTAAGGACTTAGGGAGCTTTGGATCATCCTTACGAAGCTCGGAGAAGAAAAACCAAGAGAATTGGCCATCGGGAAGTGGAGATCGACGAGTTCAAAGTTTAGCCGGATTATCGAAGGATCTCCGGCGAATTCTCGAGGATTTCATGTCCCAAAATTGGTAAGGTTTTGTTCCTTATGTTGTAAGCTTCATTGTGGTGAAGATTTCGTGGAATTTGGTGCAAAAATGAAAGAGATATGAGGTTTTATATATTTTTCCAGTTTCCAGCGACGGCGATGGTCGCCGGAGTTCGAAGGTAGGGAACGATGGAATATTCAGTCGATTTTGATGGAATATTCCTAACGGCGAATAACGGCGTTAGTTGATTTTAATGGAATATTCCTAACGGCCGTTATGCCTTAGTTAAGGTTTGGTCGCGCATGAGGGCGCGTAGGGCCGTGCCTCCATCGGTGCGTAGGTGGTCGGAAAATTTTTCTAAAAATATAAGAATGTTCGTGAGGTTGTGTAGATCACGTTGGTATATTCAATCATCTCATTTGAGCAATGTATGAGAAGTTATTAACTAGTTTTGTCTATGTGCTTTAAATAACGTTTATTCAGTTATTTCGTATATAGGTGAGACCTATCCCGAGGATGAGCGCAGTCAAGGGCGACTCGGGGGTTACGACCTTTCGACATACCAGTGAGTGGGCTTTTGGTTTTCAATATATTTATATACTTGATATTTTCCCAGAAAATGTGTTTAAATGAAAGTATGCTTTGAAATGTCATGCATATAAATTTATATTCAGCATATGAATTAGTATATGATGCATAATATGAATTGGTGTTGTGGATGCTCAGGTAAGTACTATGTGAGTTATGTCACCTCCCACACCATATGCTCACATTGGATCCAATTTAAGTGCACAGTCTTGTCGTACAGACCATTATAGGTGGTTCCGACTCATAGGTGACTAGCGATTTACCGCACAGCTATCATGAGAGCGTAGCATTGAGCATAACTATATTACACTCAATCTTGTCGTACGGACCTTTACAGTGGTTCAGACTCGTGTGCAGTGTAGTGTCGTATAGGTCACTTGCAGTGACTCCGGCTAAATTGACTAATGAGCTATGAATTCAGCCGTACAAACCTCTGCAGGAGTTCCAACTAATATGTTATTTTCCATGAATATATTTTCACCTGAGTTACTTATTCTGTTTTATATTGTTGGCATGGCATACTTATGAATATGGATATGTGAAGCATGAATTGAAATATATATATATATTCCATTTCTGGGAAAATTATACATGTTTTACGACGATAGGTTAGAGCATTTGATAAATAAAATGGTTTTGAAAAGCTTTGTTTTTTCCCACTTACACTTTTTGTTTTGTGCCCCTTTAAATTTTAGATAAGCTTGTTCGTTGGTGGCTCACGAGGATTGATTGGAGGTTCAGACAGACTACCATAAATGTAGGGCATCTTTGGGTGTCGTTTAATTAGTACTTGTTTTCTGGACTGAACTTAGGCCACTTACGCTCTAATTGTGTATTCACACATATTCTAGCACTTGTCTTAACTAGTATTCTTATGAGTTGGTTTTCATTTATTCGTATTCTCTATTATTATTATTGCTTCTGCACTGTGCACATGGTTACGTCACCCTCATATGACGGCCAGCATGCCCTGATTCGGGTCGGGGTGTGTCAATGACACATGTACAATTAGTTCACAATTTAAAACCACATAAAATGCAAAATAGGAGGAAAATAAGGAAATGTAGTAATGTAGATAGGATTTTTTTATTTTTTAATTTCAAAAAAAAAAAAAAAACAGCCTAGCCGCCTAGCACCACCTAGGGTCGCCTAGAGCCCAGCCGATTTTTCCAACCAATTTGCAAGAAAACGCATCGGGTCACCACCACCTAGCGCATAGGCCATTTTTTAGAACATTGAAATTAATATCTACATACCCTATCCTAAAAATTCAAACGACAACATAACCGTCATCGAGGCATAGATGTTGCGATCATGAACGTTGGCATAATTTTTCACATTTTTTTAACTTTTAAATTAATTATTATCAATTTTCAACTACACCTTAAACCATTGTTCACGAGGGTTTTGGAGGGTTTAGAAATTCAAACGACAATGTACCCATCATCAAGTCTTAGAAGATACAATTGCAACATTTTTCACTTTTGTAAATTAATTATTATGATTTTTTTAATATAATTTTATTTTCCCTACAAAATACAAAAGTACATAAAAATCCATAATAATTAATTCACAACAATGAAAAATGTGAAAAATAATAATATGCAAATGCTCATGATTGCTTTCTCTACGCTCGTGGTTTGAATTTTTAAAATCTCAAAACCCTCATGAACAATGTGGGGAGCTCAAAATAAATAAAAATTTATACTAACTAATGTACAAGTGTTGAAATATGAAAAATATATATATATATATAAACGCTTCTGATGCATCATTTATGGTTGGACAATGCTTCCATCATTGTTTGGATTTTTAAAAGCGTCCAAACTCTCATAAACATTTTTTTAGCGTAAAATTATTAAAAATTAGTAATTAATTTACAAGTGTAAAAAATGTAAAAAGAAATATACAAAGACTCGTAATAAGCTCTACAAAATCGTGAATGGGTCAATTCTAAAATTTGACACCCTAATCCATAAACCTCAGATTTATATTTAACCATCGATTATCGTTTACGTTTACGCTCCATTCTTCTCTCTAGCTTTCGTTTTTTCAGATTTTCTTTTTTGAAAAAAAAGTTCTTTTAGCAAATGCACAAAGGTAAACAGTTCAATCTTTGATAGCACTTTCAAATTTTTATTGTAAAAATACAGAGTTTATAAAGTCTCTAGAAACTATATAATATCTACTCATATTTCAGTTAACTGTAAATATCGGAATGTGATATCAACTGTTTATGCACAAAATCAGTGAGGACTTTGGTACAACAGAAAGTGTTAAGTTTGTGACATTCACTAGATTGCTCCGGTCACTAGTGTGGATAAGTATGTAAATGGATAGAGACAGGGAAGCAAACACAAGATGTACGTGGTTCACCCATATTGGCTACATCCACAGAGTAGAGGAGTTCTCATTAATTGTAAAAGGTTTACACAAGTACATAAGTTCAAGCTCTCCTTTAGTGAGTACTAGTGAATGATTTAGTACAAATGACATTAGGAAATATTATGAGAGAATGATCTCTATTTATAGAAGAGAGTTTCTAGTTTCATTCTAACATTGACATGTGTCGTGTTGTGATTGGCTTCTGACGTTAACACGTGTCACGTTATGATTGGCTTTTGATGTCGACATGTGTCACGCTGTGATTGGCCTTTTAGTTTGAGGGAAACTCTTATGGGTCCTTGACGGTATAACGTTGACCGGTGCTCAGTAGTTTCGGGATTGGTCAAGTATGGTACAAACAGTGCTCCCTTGAGTTCCTGAGTGGGGGAAACTTCTCGGTTGGGGACTTGCAAGATCCAAGCCATTGAGTAATCATAAAACTTCTAAGTACCGAAGTGTGGTATCATTTTCACTTGCCTTATCTGTCTCATACGTAGATGTGACATCTTCTCTTGAAGTACTTTTCCTCCATCCAGGGATGGTATCTTTAACCGATGAAGATGCACAAGGTAATGTATCAATTTCACTTGAAGCTTACTTGTAGTTTCGAGCTTGGTCAAGTGCGATACAAAACCCTATAGTAGGAGTCCCTCAAGTCGCCGAGCTAGGAGATTTGCCGAAAGAGGTAAGAGACAAGGTAAGCAATCATACTTCCAAGCAAGCAACCTGGATTGGAGGTTCGACTTCGGCTTCCGGTTGATTGTTCTCCTTCTCCTTATGTCATAAACAGCAACAAGGATAAGGAGAAGCAAATGGAGAAGAGATGATATGAGATACTTTTGCTTTTGCAGAAGTAACTT